AAAGAGCTCTATGATACTCTGAACATGAAAAGTCAAATGATTTCTCCTTGATGATCTTGACAACTAACATGTAGGCCTGGAATGAAAAACAAGAATATTATTCCCATATTTGGCTTAACTATTTACTTATTACACTCTATGTTACCATGTTGGCTCTGCTCGTCATTTTTATTTTTTGGTTATCTAAAAGCTGCATTAATCTGATAATCTTCTCTTAACACTTCCCTATCTCTGGTGAGATCAATATAAATCATATATGCAATTCTGGTTTTTAATATTGTCAGTTTGTTGTAAGTTTAATTTGCAGCAGTTCTCATCTTAGCTCATTACAATTGCCCTTTAATTTTCTGTTATATAATTTTGACTCCAAGATATATTAGACATTGGTACAAGGGATAAAGATTTGAAAATGGAAAGGAAAGTTTATCATGTTCGCATCAAATTGTACGGTGCATTCTACTAGGTGTAAACTTGTAGAGTTGTACACGTTTACGATATCCGACACGCATGTTTTTTTATTGTCAAACATACTTTTTATTCATGCATTTTGTCGTACCCACAACTGCTACCCATTTATTATTCACAAATTCCATTGGACCCTCACCTAACATGCACTAAGATTTCCTCATCTTTGAGGTGAATTTAAACTAGAAATAGATAGAGCTTGCCATTTGGAAAAGAAAATGTTTTCTTCTTCTATAAGATTAACCTACTGTTAGGGGAAAAAATACAGCAATGGAGAAAAATAAAAGAAGAAGATGATGAATATGAAATCCGGCGAAGACTTTAATACGAAAACAAATCGTTGTCCTCAAATGATATTTGCTTCCTCCAAAATGCTTTTTAAGGATTTTGTCGGCAAATAGTTTTTGAGATTAAACTAGCTTTCAATGAAGAGCACCAAAAACAAAAGTGATCTTCAAAATGAATAAGTGAAAATGGCTTTGAATATGAAGAGAAATTGAATTTGCAATAATAATGTAATCTCAAATGTGGCTATGTGTTTTTCTATATATTCCATTGATCACCAACCTCCTATATATAGCCATCAACAATGCTGTATGAAGTGGTGCCAAAAACCAAAGCCACCAGAGTTTCAAACAAAAAGGGTCACCAACGGCTAGAATTTTGTTCTATAAGACCGCATAGATCAACTCTTGGGCCCTGCAAATATGTGACCGCATCTCCGGCCTCCAAGTTGGATTTTTCATTCCACTCACGTTTTGTTGATTGTGAACAACAATAAATATCACCTACGTGTCATTGTTAGAATATAAAAGATGTATTCCTTTGCCTCATTGTGGAAAGAGTTTTGGGAACAAGATCTTGAATAATGCCCAAAAAAATAGGGAAAACAAACTTTAATAGAATTATGACTGGAGGGACAGGTTCAATTCTATTAAACAATAGTGTGTTAGTTCTCTAACAGATTAAATTTTCGTATGTGAATTTTACCTCGCTTTTTCGGCTTTGCATTCTCCTATGTTGTTCTCATTTTCCATGTACATTTTATACATGTTTAATCAGTTTTACACTGTCCATTCAGTGATGTATTTGCAGTCAAATCCAGGAGGGATTACAATTTTTGGGTACACAGTTGATCGAGGAATGATCAACACGATATTTTTCATTCAACTTACACTTATCACATTTGTTCTTGGCAAGACCATAGTTATCCCCTCCGAGTAATGCATCATTAGAGAGCAGGAGTTCTTTTCGATGAATTAACATGAGTTTATCTGGCTGCAATTATTGCTGCAACCGGGCTCAACCAGCTGATCTTATACTGCAAAGAAAAGGACTCGACTTGGCCTGCCTTCTCGGTTCCTGTTTCAAGAACCATGAGTATGTGACTGGACTTGCCGGTGAGCTATGTTATTCTCTTCTCATTTATTTTTCTCCCTTTGCTTTCCTCCTTTAGTGCGAAATGGTGGAGGAGAGAGTCGAGGACGAGCCTTGAGGATGCATACCTTTCGGTTTAGTAAGAAGAAAAATTCGACATGTAAAGGCAATCGAAATGAAGTTCATTAGGATACTCTGCAGACCACCCAATAAATATTTATGTACAAATTGTGAAGAAAAGTGAAAATTAATGATGACTTTTTTTTGTACAGAAGACTGGGGAAATCACTTCATAGTATTATTCATTGTAATCTTTATAGATGTTTGGAAAGTTGTAGTTCCAATCCCCTCAAGTACGCACTTTCCCAATCAACTTTATCTGAGTTTTACTTCTGAACTTTCATTTTCAATACAAATTAGTGCTTATAGAATGAAAATCAAAATATTTCGTTTAAACATGCTTTGCACAGGATGAGTTAGTTGAGAGTTATTTTGCCGACTCTTGCGGGACGGGAAAGTGTTTACATAACCAATTTCAAATTTATTGATAGTCGGTGGATTAGAAAGAATAAAGTCGAGTTGATAAAAAATGCCTGATCGACATCCTCTCACATGCTTGTGAGATCCGCGTGACAAAAATGCCTGATCGACATCCTCTCACCCGCCTGTTCGATCAGTAGGTCAGTGTAACAGGGTTGGATTAAAAATACTTTTAATAATGCCCACAAACACAAATAATCCATTTCTTATCTAATCAAATTCAAACTCTTTTCTTTTTTCAACTTCATTTGTTTTCTTATTTTATTTTAGTACCTTATATAATGAAGCAGTCTGAACGTTTCGATCTATTTCGATGAAAACAGAGATGAAAAATAACCCTATTGGAGTTCCATCGTTGCATTGGACCACCAATTGTTGCGCCGCTACTTTCTGATGAGAACGGGGTGCTGGGATTGAATTCGAGTGTTTGGTGGAAAGTTTGGACGAAGAAGAGAGGAGTTGAATGCATTACTCAAGAGGAGCCCAGAGAGACTGATGAGCATAATGGGCGAGTCGAGGTCTTTCGACGAATTTTTTAGGATTATTGATCAATTTGATCTTAATGGGGTGTCGACTTTGATGAGATCAAATTTATTATGCTCAAACTTGAGAATATATTATTACCATGTGACTAATCGAAGTGGAAGGACATTATATGCTATTTCGAATTCATTAGAGTTCCTCAAGTCTGAATATTTGGTCGATACTCCTTTTCATTTATTTTTTGACTACATGAATTTTAAAATGAATATTGGATTCGATTATTTTGTAAGTTTATTTGTTATTGCGATTCTATAACTTCTACGACTTCTATATAGCATTTAATTCATTCCAAAGAATAAAAGCGTGGGTGTAGTGACGGGGATAAGAGTACTATAAAATACACACACAAAACTTCCCTCTTTTTAACTAAAAATTTGATAAAAATCTAAATCAAAGTATATTAATTTTTCAACTACACATTTCATCAACTTTTATCAAAATCTATTCAAACTCTGATTTTTAACTACCCTTGAAAGGACATATCTAGTTGAACCAAAAAAAAAAGGGCGAAGGGGGGAGGGGGGGTGGGGGAGAAAAAAAGAAAACCGAAGCTGCTGGACCACAAGGGGAGGAAATGGAAGGGGTCAAAAGTAGGGGTGGACATGGGTCCGTTCGCTTCGATTTTAAAGACAACGAACCGAAACAAAATTTTTGAATATCTAGTAAATAGAATTATCAAGTCCAAATATAATTATGAAACCGTTCGAGTTTAGTTTCGAGTTCGGTTCGTTTCGATTCGTTTCCGTACTATAATTAATTTTTTTAACATTTATAACAACATTATATAAATACAATAATGATACATTCAATGATTTTGAAATGTCAAAGACTAGTAGATTACCTTATTCAAATGATCGCTACGGTCAAAATTTCGTTTGATCGGAGGTCACAGCGTCGGTCGACAATTGTATAAATTTTGAAATGTCAGCGATGCTGCGAGAGTGAATACAAGAGTCGAGAGAGCGTTATACACTTTAGTGTAGGTGTTTATGATTATTTAGTGGGTTGAATCTTGTTGGGCTAAGAAATGAAACAATAAAATGAGTAATTGGACAAAAAAAATAAAAAATTAGAAATGAAACAAATTTTTAGACCCAAAAATTTAAATTTAAAAATTGTTAATTTGTTTAAAAAATATTAAAATTAAAATAATTTGACTGATTCAATATAAGAAAAAAAAATTAGAAAGATTCGGTTCTTGATCTAGAACCGAAAATCGAACCGTACCCGTCAATTCTCAATTCAAATACCCATTCGGGTATCTAATTTGACAAAAACCGTCGAGTTCGGTTCGATTTCCGTCGGTTTGATTCAGGAGATTTGCCCAATCCTAGTCAAAAGCATTTTTGTGTTGATTGAAAGGCCCTTCTTATTCTTATGACCTGACCTGGCCAGTACATGGCAACCCACCATAAAGAAATTTCATTTTAACTGAAAAGATGAGTAAATCAACATGGACCCAAAAAAAAAAAAAAGAACTGTTAAAATGCCAATTACTCTACTACCAAAATTTCATTTTTCACCATACAATGAACAAATCAATATGATGCACCAGTGCAGTGCACACATTTTAGCTGCAGTTTTGCCATATATATATATCACGAGAAGCATTTAGAGAATAACATAATAATAGTAATGGTACTGAGCTTTCCTAAAAATTTATTTTTCCCCAAACTCATTTATTACATTTCTAGAAATCTCAATTTTCACAAAATTTATTCTCACAAAATCTACATCAAAAAGACCCTGAATGAGACATCAAAGCAAATTTAGACAATAAAAAGTAAACAAAAATTAGATAAAGAAACAAATCAACCATAAAAAGTGAAAAATGTAACAAAAGGTAGCAATGTACCTCTCTTGAGCTTGAGACAGATATGAATATAGAAAAGAAAATTATGGGAATTTCTATACATCCCAGGTTGTGCAAGTGAGCTCCTCAACCTGTTTGCTTGGGTACTGCATTGACATTTCAGATGAATGTCATTCATTTAATAATAGATGAAAACAACATGGCCAAGTATTAGAAAACAAACTCACTCCCATTTAGCAGTAATGAAGAAAATAGAAGTTGTACATAACACATGAATTATCACCAAAGCAATATAAAACGTGTTTAATTTGGTAAGAGAAGAAACTTCAACATCGTTCATGACAAGGAAATTGGTAACATATACTGTCAAATTTAACTGTGACTCTTGCATAAAAGCAAACAAATACTCTTACCTTAATACTCATGACAAATATTGCATAAAATAATCTGCAAGATTTTCTACGGCTATTTCGTCATATAAATGATAGCAAAATAGCAATCAGTACAAGAACAAAACATTCATAAAAACCTTCTCGTATATTACTGTTGCATCCCACATTTGTATACAAAGTGAAATGGTGCGAACAAAACAGAGCCACTTCAGGTATCAATCGAATACGTTAAGAGATTGATAAAGATAAAACTAATTATACATGTAAACAGAATTCTTCTAAATATGCCCCACAGTACTCTTTCTCTATGTCATAATAAATTCGTCTTTGGTTATTCATAATTCATAAATCAAATAAACATTGATCAAGCCTCATATTTTCAAAATATTATTGTTGTCTATAAACGATGTAAAAGATTTATAAAGATATATAATGACAACAGTAGTCTTTTACAATTTGTTAATAACCGTTGCACATGGAAATTAGCAACTTCTTGATCTCACATTCATCCATGTATATTCAGAATTATTCTTTACCTTTGGAGTGCAATTTTCTGTCAATTTCTTCAACAAAGAAAAACTATGAATCTCCTCTCCCCTTCACATCACTGTCGCTTGCAAACACAGTATAAGGATTAAATTTGATTCAAACTGTTTGGTAGTATTCAAAAGTAATTTTAAGAAAGTTGTTTGCTGTAATCAATATAAAATATGTTACACAAGTTTAAAGTGAAACTCCTATGCCACACGTTGCCATACAAGAGGTATCAAAGCCAGATTCTATGGAAAAGCAGAGGCCCAGAGAAGTCAACCTTCACTATATCTGAATCAAATTGTTAGTCCACCTCATTCATCAAGGTGCCTGCTAAAAACAGCACAAAAGATCGTCTTGCAAACAATGTTTGAAACTCCCTTTGATCCATAGCTCTCACCTAAACCACGTTTGCATGAGCTATAGCAAAATCCAAATAAAGGAAATTTCAAAGTATTATTGGCCAAATAAACCACCAGCGCCTAATTCTTCTTGCTGCAACTCCTTCCTCTGTTGCTCTTTTAGAGGATCAGGACTCTTCATTGCTCTTCTTATACGCCTAAAAAACCAGTTATAACAACAAATTTACTGTACATAATTCAAAGAAATTATGGTCCATGAAACTCATGACGACGGAGCTCCAGTACCTGTCTTGCACGTGCTGAGCCGGAAATGTTGGCATGAACTCCTTAGACTTGGGAAGTGGAACTTCTTGGAACCATTCATGCTTCAGAGCTGCTTCAGCAGTTATCCGCTGCGCAGTTGCCACATATAATCAAGAATCAGACAGGAGATTCAATTGTCTAGAGACATAAAAACAAAAAAATAATAAAAATACCTTATCAGGATCATAAGTTAAAAGCTTGTTCAACAGGTCAAATCCAGCATCAGAAAGTACTGGTGAGCCAGTAAATGAAGTAGCTGGAAATTTCCTACGCAACTGATTGTATCTGAAATGAATGCATCACCAATTAGTAGAAACGTGACATTTTAGAAAAATATTTAAAACTGTCACCCATAGAGACCAGAAAGCTAGATCATAACCAACCTTAGCCTGAAACCAGTGAAAAGAGTAGCAAAATGATGATGATGATGATGATAATAATAATCAACTAGTATATGGATTGAATATACAAGATACAAGAACCTACTTATTCTTGACAAAGTTAACCTTCACCCCAGGAAGTCTAGAAAACCCAGGCCAGATTGTCTCATTTGGTGTGCCGAGGATTCTGAAAATCTGCAATAAACATCATGAAAGAAACTAATCAGGCTATATGTTATCCACATTTAATAAAAATCATAAACTGCATTATGAATAAGATGCTGACATATTTTACCTTGTCAAGCTGATCAAACTCTGTTTTTCCACTAAACAAGGGCTCTTTTGATAACAGTTCAGCCATAATGCATCCCACAGACCACATATCAATTGCAGTAGAATATTGTTTGGCTCCCAGAAGAAGTTCTGGCGCCCTGCAAATGAACTTCTAGTTCAATTTATCTTAAATCAGAGAGCATAAAATATGCACAATAAAATCAAGAACTAAGATGCACTACTGTTGACAACGATAGTGGTATCAAGTATTAGAATTATTTTAGCTTTAATGTTATATGGGAAAATGATGTGACAAAAGGCTGAGGAAAATTGCACCAAATATGGAACTAAATTTCTGAACAGATAAAATTAGATCTATCCATATTGGCAAAAAGGCATTTATGCACTCTCAAGATACTATAGGACTATTATAGCACATGAATACTTGTAAGAGTTACAAATAGGTGATTGTAAACTAATCATCAGGATAAAAGAGCCAAAGAAGAAGTGACGCACACCTGTACCACAAAGTAACCACCAAATGAGTATAAGGTTTCAGGGGGCTCCCATATTGCCGAGCCAGACCAAAATCGCAGATTTTCAGCTCCCCTCGATTATTTAAAAGTAAATTAGATGTTTTCAGATCTCGGTGAAGTACCCAATTATCATGAAGATATTTGACACCCTCTAACAGCTGGAGCGTAAGGCATTTAACTTCACTTTGACTAAACGGCTGTCTCATTGTCTCCATCAATCCCTTAAGATCATGTTCCATATACTCCATGACCATGAAGATGCTGTCAAGATTGCTACCCACAACTACTTCTTTGACATCCACTGCTGAAGGATGCTGAAAAGAGAGAAGGATGTTAATTTCTCGAAGTGAAGTCAGAGGAAACCCTTCTCTCTCTTTCTCCATCTTGACCTTCTTCAAAGCAACAATTTCTCCAGACTTCTTGTCCCTGGCTCTATAAACAATCCCGTAAGTGCCTTCATTTATCTTGTTCAATCTCTCAAACTCATCAACACTTCTGCACCCCCGAAGCATATTCACACTCCTTTCTGGGGTGAGTGCAGTCTCTGGTGTACCACAAGAACCTAGTTCATCCACAGATTCCATATCCGACTGGCTAACACTAGTAGCACCATAATTTCGGTCCTCATCTATCTCCATGTAGTCATTCTTATCAACGTTGTTAGGGTAACTATCTCTACTAGAAGACCTAACACACTCATCAGATCCAGAGGACCTCCCCCTAGTTCCTTTAGATCCTTCGGCTTTAACCTCTCCAAGCTCTGGACTTCTTGATTTCCTATGCCCCCATACTAGAGCCGACTCAGTACCAGACCTCCGCACCTTCCATTTAGGCGTATCTCCATTATCATGAATCACACCTTCATCAACTGGGGAGTCAGCATTATTTGCCCAACGAGAGGAAACAATGGTTCGAGTAGACTCAAAATCTTCAGCGTCAAATTCCTCTGCTCCCTGGTCACCACCAGGACACTCTTCGTTGGGAGACAAGGAAGATGTTTTAACAGGAACTTCCAACACCTCTGGCACTAAATCAATCTCAGGAAATGATGCTTTGGAATTCTGAACCTCGCATTTGTGCTTAGGTGAAACTTGTACGGACTCATCCAGAGAAGGGACAGACGACGGAACATTCGAATTGACCACAGGAGGTGAAAAAGGTAAATTAGTAGTATCAGAAACATTCCTTTTCTCGAATGCTCTACTCAATTCCCTGTCATCTCTATCCCAAACAATTGGAGAAAACTTCCGCTTCTTATTCTGGACAGGCAATGATTGTTTTCCATTTTCTGACGTCTTAACCTCACTCTCTATATTAATCCGAGATTCCAAATCACTAGCCCCATCAGACCCGTCACTAGACAGCTCCCCAGGCTCTCGATCCATGACCCGAACTGCCAATCAGAAAGTACTGGTGAGCCAGTAAATGAAGTAGCTGGAAATTTCCTACGCAACTGATTGTATCTGAAATGAATGCATCACCAATTAGTAGAAACGTGACATTTTAGAAAAATATTTAAAACTGTCACCCATAGAGACCAGAAAGCTAGATAATAACCAACCTTAGCCTGAAACCAGTGAAAAGAGTAGCAAAATGATGATGATGATGATGATAATAATAATCAACTAGTATATGGATTGAATATACAAGATACAAGAACCTACTTATTCTTGACAAAGTTAACCTTCACCCCAGGAAGTCTAGAAAACCCAGGCCAGATTGTCTCATTTGGTGTGCCGAGGATTCTGAAAATCTGCAATAAACATCATGAAAGAAACTAATCAGGCTATATGTTATCCACATTTAATAAAAATCATAAACTGCATTATGAATAAGATGCTGACATATTTTACCTTGTCAAGCTGATCAAACTCTGTTTTTCCACTAAACAAGGGCTCTTTTGATAACAGTTCAGCCATAATGCATCCCACAGACCACATATCAATTGCAGTAGAATATTGTTTGGCTCCCAGAAGAAGTTCTGGCGCCCTGCAAATGAACTTCTAGTTCAATTTATCTTAAATCAGAGAGCATAAAATATGCACAATAAAATCAAGAACTAAGATGCACTACTGTTGACAACGATAGTGGTATCAAGTATTAGAATTATTTTAGCTTTAATGTTATATGGGAAAATGATGTGACAAAAGGCTGAGGAAAATTGCACCAAATATGGAACTAAATTTCTGAACAGATAAAATTAGATCTATCCATATTGGCAAAAAGGCATTTATGCACTCTCAAGATACTATAGGACTATTATAGCACATGAATACTTGTAAGAGTTACAAATAGGTGATTGTAAACTAATCATCAGGATAAAAGAGCCAAAGAAGAAGTGACGCACACCTGTACCACAAAGTAACCACCAAATGAGTATAAGGTTTCAGGGGGCTCCCATATTGCCGAGCCAGACCAAAATCGCAGATTTTCAGCTCCCCTCGATTATTTAAAAGTAAATTAGATGTTTTCAGATCTCGGTGAAGTACCCAATTATCATGAAGATATTTGACACCCTCTAACAGCTGGAGCGTAAGGCATTTAACTTCACTTTGACTAAACGGCTGTCTCATTGTCTCCATCAATCCCTTAAGATCATGTTCCATATACTCCATGACCATGAAGATGCTGTCAAGATTGCTACCCACAACTACTTCTTTGACATCCACTGCTGAAGGATGCTGAAAAGAGAGAAGGATGTTAATTTCTCGAAGTGAAGTCAGAGGAAACCCTTCTCTCTCTTTCTCCATCTTGACCTTCTTCAAAGCAACAATTTCTCCAGACTTCTTGTCCCTGGCTCTATAAACAATCCCGTAAGTGCCTTCATTTATCTTGTTCAATCTCTCAAACTCATCAACACTTCTGCACCCCCGAAGCATATTCACACTCCTTTCTGGGGTGAGTGCAGTCTCTGGTGTACCACAAGAACCTAGTTCATCCACAGATTCCATATCCGACTGGCTAACACTAGTAGCACCATAATTTCGGTCCTCATCTATCTCCATGTAGTCATTCTTATCAACGTTGTTAGGGTAACTATCTCTACTAGAAGACCTAACACACTCATCAGATCCAGAGGACCTCCCCCTAGTTCCTTTAGATCCTTCGGCTTTAACCTCTCCAAGCTCTGGACTTCTTGATTTCCTATGCCCCCATACTAGAGCCGACTCAGTACCAGACCTCCGCACCTTCCATTTAGGCGTATCTCCATTATCATGAATCACACCTTCATCAACTGGGGAGTCAGCATTATTTGCCCAACGAGAGGAAACAATGGTTCGAGTAGACTCAAAATCTTCAGCGTCAAATTCCTCTGCTCCCTGGTCACCACCAGGACACTCTTCGTTGGGAGACAAGGAAGATGTTTTAACAGGAACTTCCAACACCTCTGGCACTAAATCAATCTCAGGAAATGATGCTTTGGAATTCTGAACCTCGCATTTGTGCTTAGGTGAAACTTGTACGGACTCATCCAGAGAAGGGACAGACGACTGAACATTCGAATTGACCACAGGAGGTGAAAAAGGTAAATTAGTAGTATCAGAAACATTCCTTTTCTCGAATGCTCTACTCAATTCCCTGTCATCTCTATCCCAAACAACTGGAGAAAACTTCCGCTTCTTATTCTGGACAGGCAATGATTGTTTTCCATTTTCTGACGTCTTAACCTCACTCTCTATATTAATCCGAGATTCCAAATCACTAGCCCCATCAGACCCGTCACTAGACAGCTCCCCAGGCTCTCGATCCATGACCCGAACTGCCAATTCACTCCTCCTCCCACCACCACTACTGCTAGAATCACTCTGATTTGAAATAGAATGATACCCACCATTTATCACCTCCCTTATCTTAATATCCTTCTGTCTAACCCTACCTGTATGATCCCTACTATCTCGATCCCGAACCCCACTTCGACTTTTCCAATTATCCCAGTCTCCGTTCCTAAAACGATCATTATCCCCTTTCACATTCCCAACTTCCTTCTTTGGCAGCCCCAAGTCCATCTTGCGACCCTTGAACTCATTGTCTTTTTGGCTCCCATGTCTTCCAGCCGCCATGCTCTGAGAAGTTTGTGAGTGCTTATAAATCTGTATAGCAAACAGAATGCTAGCCTCGAATGCCCAAATTCAAGTTTTTCCTGGAAAAATAAAACCAATAAAATTTCGACTTCTTCAAAAAATGGAAAACCCTTTTCGAAATAACAGAAATGAGTCGAGAAAAATAAAATATGGATCTGCTAGTGAACACAAAATCCGAACACACACTCTATTTACTCTTTAAACGAACCTAAATAATGAAACCCTAGTAATGATGGTGTGTGGTATTTTTCTTCCCAGTCGGTATATTGCGTAATTTGTGAGCAGTTGAGAGGTTTACAAATGAAACAGTCGGAAAGAATCAGATGAATATAGAGAGAAGTGAAGGAGCCGCGGTGGTGGTCCAAAAGAAAGATCAATAGTATGAGGCGGCGCAGCAAAAGAAAGGCCGAGTCGCAACCAGGAAGGAATACACGGTAAAAGGAAGTTGGGATATTCGCACAATAAAAGGAAGTTGGGTAGAATTTTTTTTTTTAATTATCTAATTTGATTAATTTAGTCACTAACAATGGAGAGAATACACACGAGTGTGGTTTAAGTAGGAAATCTCTAAAAACTGTTAGTTTAAAGATAAATAGAGTACATCGAACACTTCCTTACACGTCGATTTTGTAGATGAGTAACTATCAAATATGCTTGTAATAGTAGTACTGTAGTCGTCATTTTTTCATAAAAAAATCCTTCATGCAGACACATAAGAACTACTTTAATAATTGGAAAAAAAATATATAGTCTCTTACATGTCGATTTTGTAGATGAGTGATTGTTTGGTTTATTTGTCATCTACGTCATCTTGTAGGTTTATAAGTACATTGAACATCGTTTTCTTACTAATCGATTTTAAAGATGGATTATATGTCCCATGCATTTGTAATTCGACAATTTGAAGTACTAAAGTGGAGTGGGATTGTAAAGCTCTAGACATTAATCAAGTTGTAAATATTGAAATTCAAGTAACTATATTTTGTAAGAAGAAAACTACGTAACTTGGGTAAATTCGAGTTAACTAGGAATCCAGTGAACTTTCGTACGTTGCAAGTTTTCAAGTAACTTATTTTCAACTTCTTCTTTAAAGTTAATTTGGACCAAGTCAATTTGCAGAAGGGTCTCACTGATGTATACCCTTCATAGTATTCTAAAAATACTGTGCATTTGTTCTTCATTTTCATCCAAAGTTGAGTTTATTTCATGGCGGACTAAATCCTTATTTTGATAATTCGACAAGTTTGATACTTTTTCATACAAACAAACGTGTTACACTGAGCATGTTTGCCTAAGCTTAAAAGTCGCTTAAAAGGTATTATTTTTTTTTTTTGAAATTTTAAAAAGTAAGTCTTTACGCACATCTCCAAAAAGTACTACTTTACAATATTACTATTTTGATGTGTAGATATGCAAGCTTTCAAGAACTTGTAGATGTCTCAAAAAGTTTCTATTGAGAACTGTAATAAAGTTCGGAGATTTTATTGACAGAGTCTCTTCTGAGTTTACTCAACCTCATTATTAATGAACTGTGCTTATTAATTAAAAAACGAATCGACTCAATTTAAAATGTAGCAGGAAAATAGAAAGAAAGAATTTCCTTACAACAGTTTGAAATGTAAATATTCTTCAGAACTGGGAATCTTAAATGCACGAAAATATTTTTCTACCAGCAAAAGGAAGGCAACTTAAAGGAAAAAGAAGAGGGAAGATGACCGGTTCTTCTAATATAATCTGCCCTTTCTGATGTCTTCACCGCCTTTTCGTTCAGTTTGGCTTCAGCATTTGCACGCTTTTCCTCAGCTATTCTCCTAGTCGATGCAAGTTTGTTTGTGTACTTCTCTTGTGCTCGAGATTTCATTCTTTCAGCTTTCACCTACGCAAAAAGAAAGGAAATGAAATCAAGGAACTAACAAGTCTTTGTCTCGGAGAATTTTGGTAAATTGCAAAGAGAGTGTCAACAATATCTCATATTCCTCCATTTTTCTGATGGCTATATCCAAAAGTTGCTCTGGAATAAAACAAGAAACTAAATGCAGGGAAAGGGAAAAATACTGATATCTTAAATGCATCGATTATCAGAGGAATATAGCTTTTTGCAGTTAAGTTGACGATAATTATCCTACCCCAACTATGGATAGTACAGTGTCTTTAAAGTGCCGATAAAATGAATATTTCAGAAAACTTGCTTTGAAGTGAAACGAGAACATTGTACACGAATTTGAAATGTTCTCCTTCCTTTAGATTTATGTATTTCAATATATATATATATATTTTGCCAATAGAATGAAGAATAAATTGAATTACATTCATATAGAATAGAATCATCTAAATCTGCAATAATTGTTGGTAATAGAATAATGTCAAATTACCTCCATTCTTCGCATTTCCATTTCAGCTTTCCTTTTCTGATGATTTTCCCAGGCCTGAATCTTCACCTCTTCGCGCTTGTACCTGCCAATCCATGAATAGCCAACTAGTGAAAACTTTCCATGATTTCTTAAATGGACAAACAGCATGTGAAAATGCTTCAGATGGCAGATTGATGAACATTTTGGTTTCCTACTAAACAGAAAAATGCTACAATAAATTACCTCGCCATGGATTTGGCACGCTCAGCCTCATCCCAAGCCATTGCTCGGGTTTCCAGAGGATTTAACCTTCTTGATTGATCTGTAGTCCTATTTGCAGATGCATTGTTAGCATTGGGTTCTTCTCCGTCTCTGCTGCATTGTCCAGTGGTACCATTAGCCCTGCCAGCCCCATCTCTCGTCTCAGTGGGGATTGTAACAGGTTGACCACTTTCGAGAGCCAGACTTCTTACAGGAGTTGTTGGACCAGAGCATATGGGGCTTTTTGATACTGGAGTGGAGGCTCTGATAGGAGTGGCAGTTCTCGAGGGCTCTTGACTTGCTATCGGAGTCATTTCCGTCCCCATATCCCTCACGCATATAGAGCGCACAACTGATGCAGAACTATTAACAGGCTTATTGATTCTCCATATTGACTCATCACAATCTATTTTCTTAGTTTCCACTTCATATGGACTCGCACTTGTTGAGCCAGCACCATCATTCTCTTCCTCCTCACCACTCGAGTATTCCTTCTTTGGTACCGGAACTATCAATCTCCTGTCATCAGCATTTGAATTACGGGGGGAAGCTTTTGCCTGATTTCTATCTCCTCCTTTCGATAGATTTACTAGCCATTTTTGTGCATCGTCCCATTTCGATGGAGTCGGTTTTCCTAATGCCGTTCGTTGATGAGAAGCTCGATTCATCCCATTCCCTTTGTGGAACTCAAAAGTCATACAACTTCCACCCGGCGTCTCTTGTGTAGTTCCATAACTCAAGCACCCTTTATCCTCTATGGATCTCATGTTTATGCCTTTTGATCTACTAAATATAACTAAAAAAACCCAAGTATTTCGACTTACACTCAACTGCCAGCAAAAATCCCTTCCCTTTTTCGTCTACCACATAAGCTAAGTAAAGCTATATAAATTCACAAACAAATCCCCGTTTCTCATATAGTTAAACTCAATCATCATATGCTAATTCATCTCATCACCGATCCCAACGACTTCTAAAAGTGGAGCAGATCTCGGGATGCACATCTGCATTGGTATTTTGAGTGTGAAACAAATCTGGTTAGTATAATTTCTTTTCCTTCAAGTACAATTTCTAAAATCATCAACTTTCTTGGAAACATTAACACAAAAAGGATAAGCACAGCCACCCATAAGAGATTTAATAACAGCAAGTTGGAATTTGAGGGTCTAAGAAGAAGTGCATCTGAAGAAACATTAAATCAAACAATATTCATGCATAAAACTCAACATTGTGAGTTTCTATTACCCTATTTATCATTCAGAAAAAGCATATTACCACAACAACAAACTAAAGTCTTGTCTCAAATAAAGTTAAGGTTCCACTACAAAAATTCTTTTATATGATGCAATAATATCGACCTGAAATACCAAGAAAATAAAACTAAACATGCCAAGTGCATACTACAAATTGGTATGAAATATGCTTATTAGCAAGAACATGAAATGGAAGCAGAGAACTATACATTGATTTCAGCCCAACTGGATTTTCTGAAGTAGAGCAAAACAAATTTGCAGAGAATAGAACACTGAAACCATAGACTTTTTTGAGACAGGCAGATTTAGTAGATGAAGTTCAGATCCACCGACTGGTAAAAAAGCAGCAAAATGTGGGCAGTAACTGTAAAAAATTGTTGCCAATAAAATACTGCTTAAGTTTCTTGATTTTGCTGCATATTGTCAGCTAAAAATACAGTGGGCTGCGACATGACTTCATATAATGGAATCTTGAGAAAGTTTAAACGTCCCTGGATAAAATTTTAATGCCTAAAGCCTTTTCTGGGAGCAGTCAAAGACACAAGATCCAGTTGAGAAGCTTGATATTGGACAAAGTTAGAAAATGTACTGAGTAGGGGTTTGAAAAACTGCACCCATATCAGTTGACAGCAAGTAACAGCATCTATGAACAAGAAACTATGTGCATTTTCGGTAAATTTAGAGTCGATACCTGCAATTTTTCTCTTCAAAAGTTTAATGTTTTTTTGACAAGATCATTCAATGTGAAAATTCGATATACCATTTTAGTTTTAGCCCCGTTTGAGCCATGTAAAAATGAGAATGAAAAATATAGGTCTTACATAAAAAATAAAAAGTCAAATATGATAATTTGATGTGATGGATAATGATCATATTTTTCATTTTAATGAGAAAATAATGGAGCTCAAACAGATATAGTCCTCGTTTGGCCCCCATTTTCTGAAAATGAGAATGGGTGGCACATTGTTTTTTGAAAAATAAGTGGATGAAAAAAACAAAAAAAAAATTCGATTTTCATAATATTATTTTATGGGAGATTGTGTAGTTGAAAATAAAAGAAAAAAATAAAATATAATGAAATGAAATGAAATTTACAGGTTGTTTGGGAGCGATTTTTTGTCCCAAAAAATTGATTTTTTGACCGTTATTTCACTATTTCAGCCGTCATATTTGACTTCTTCTCTTACAGGTGAATCCCATTTCTCTCCAATGATTAAAAAATCAATTATCAAAATTACTCCCAAACATGCTCTTAATGAAGACTAATTGAAGGCATACTCTCGTGAATCATTTTGCCGTATTCTTTAGGTGGGTTTGTCATCTGGCAGTGTTGGGGCCATTTGATTTGTGTTATTTAAGAGATGTGACGTTTTTTTCTCAGAATTTTCACATGGCAAGGATGGGCAACAACAGGGGTGTCTGCTATTCAATGTGTGGTGAATTTTGGCTAAGTTTAGATGACATTTTTTTTACTATATATGTACTCAACTGACCCCTAATTTCACCATCAACAATTATAATCAAGAAAAAGAACCCTTCTTGAATTTTTTTGGGTAGTTGAGAGAAAATAGCCGTTATTGAATGTAAAGTATACGACATAGAAAAATTCAACGTAAAATATTATTTAATTTTGCTACATGTACATTATAATTTACTTCCCAACTTATCAAATTTACACTTGAGATAATCTCACATCATCTTTCACATTTTACATATTTAATTCAACCATCACAATTTTGTCACATCATTCATCCGTCATCAAAGATGCCAAAGTTAATGTAAAAATATCTTAATTGAATATTATTAGATCCATACTTAATGAATGATTAAAGTGCATGAATGTTACCATTTTTATGACGCTCGTGACGGCATGTGCATAGTCAAATGCATACACTGATTATATAATTTTATTTTATTTTTTAGTTTGGATAATGATATTTAATTAAGAGCTAAATATGTATTGGAACAAACGAACCTACGCGTGATTTTCAAAAAGGACCATGTTATGTCTATCCACTGTCAAGAATAAATACTCGGTCAAGTACTAAGGACTTGTGAAAAGGATAGATTCCTAATTAATCTTACCATAGGACTTGTCAAAAGGATAGATCCACATTGGTTCATCTTCAAAAATATCCCAATTACTTTTACATTATGATTTTATTTCTGGTAAATTGACAAGGGGTCCCAAATCTTTAAAAAAAAATGATGTGGAATCCCCGACCTTTGAATTAATACGTCGCTTTGGGTCTATTGAACGTTTCCATCCAAAAATTCGTTACCATTTAAAGACGAGGATCTTTTCATATTATGTAATATCTCATTTGATGATTAATAATTTGAAGTTGAATTTGTTGAATGTTTGATTTTTATTTAAGCATATGTTGCTAGCTTGTGGATATAGTGATATATTTTAATTTGCATTTATTATTTGAAAATTTAAGTAATGCACCTGAATCAAACTAAACCAAAATCGAGTTTGGTTCTACATAAAAAAAAAATTATTGGTTCCATTATTAAAAAAAAAATCATTGATTTACGGTTTGGCTCGATTCTCTGGAAATTAGAACCAAAAGGAACCATCAGGGGCAAATCCAAGCAACTGAGTCAACACAGACGACCGTTGACCCTTAATCGTCAACCGCAATAAAATATTAAGAGTTCGTTTAATGCCAATTTTTTGTAAAAAAACAAAAAAAAAATATTTTTGAATAGTAATTTGAAAAAGAACGTGTAGTTAAAAATAAGAAAAAATTTTGAATTTGCATATAATATTATTTTATTGAAGAATATTTGGTTGAAAAGAAGAGAAAAAAATATATTTTAGAAAAATGAAAATCAAACATGACTTAAAATTTAAATATAATAATTATTTTGTTCAAACTGAACATATATAATATGTTGTTGAAAACTAGAGTTTTTCGATAATGATTGTCAAACACAACTGAATAAATTAGTTAAACTTTATGTAAATAAATTTAAATTTCTTAAAATAGAATTTAATTTTTATTGTTGTATGCACAAGAACAATATCAAAATTCATCACTACATTAAAAACATTCTTCATTCAACAAAATGAACATATATTATTTTGTTACATTGAGTGTCAAAGATCAAACAGTGCCATGATGGTCAAGCTTTCAAATATGCTTAAGCTTAGAGGTTTGAATCTCCTTCCTTTAGTTTTGGTAAAAATTGTTGAAATACAAAAATTACACAATATATTGTTATTGAAGAGTTTCGAATCCAGAATTTCCAATTTGATTGAGAAAACTCAAACCAATTGAGCTACTGGAAACATTTGAAAAATAAATGAACTATCAGATACATAATCTAAATGTTTTATCTATTGTCAACAAAAAAATTTCTTCCCAGTAAATCTAGTACACACGGCAGCGAGTCCTCGCCAAGTGCTGGATCCACCTTTGAGAACCATATCCATTCCTACAGCACCACAATTGAATTTGGCTAAAAGTCCAATTTCATAAAATGAGAGAATCAAACTTTAGTTTTCACTGGGAAAAAAGTGATAGTAGAGAAGTTGGTCTAGATTTACGTGAAACCAGACTAGATATTTGGTTTAGTGTGTTGATTGTGACAAGGAACGGGGGCAGGGAACTGGGTGCCATGATAGTAGTGATGGCAACGGGGCGAGTTCGGGCTGAAGCATCCCCATCCTGCCTCGCCCCGCCAAGACGGGGCAACTTTTTGCCCCGTTTAATTTTATTTTTTTATTTTTTACATTTTCAAAGTTTTGAATTATGTTATTATTAGAGAATAAATAAAAATTTAAAATGAGTTTTTAACGGATGAATTGTCTAAAAATAAAATTATTTTTAATTTTTTTTCCCTTCCTCGCCCCGCGACGGGGCGGGTTTTTTTTACCCCATTCGGGGCGAGGCGAGGTAAATTGCCATCACTACATGATAGGGATGTGGGATGAGTGGAATGGAGAGGGATACACGGGTCAGAGCCAGATCTTTTGTATCATGAGATAAAAAATTAAAAAAACCTTTTTTTTTTACAACAATATAACATTAATGACAATAAGTTAGAGAATTTTTTCTTTTCTTTTTGCTATTTTTTGAAAGGATGGAAGTTAGAATTTTCTCATCCAAAATATCGCTGGAGTGGAATTAGGCATGTTACGGGCGCCTTAAGAATGCTCCAGTGGAACCCAAATGCTCCAAGGACTGTAGGTTTCAATAATTCGCACTCAAACGTCTTCTTCTTGCGAGCTTGATGCCCCAAGGGCAATTTACAACAGTGCAGTATAGATTATAGATTATATACTTCACATTCTCTCACTCAACATAAGGCAACACAAATACCTTCAATTTCAAATATAAAAATTCCATACTTGGATTAAAGAATAGAGATTGAAATTAAGGATTGGGGGAGAGTTTATTTGAGTTTGGAAGAGCTTTTTTTTTTAATTTTTAATTTTTTTTATTAAAGAATAGAGTAAATTGTAATCTATAAACGTGTGCAGCCAAACATAAAAGTCAAGTACAGAATTTTTGAAAAAAAAATAAATCCGAAATTAAAAGTTTTTGTGGGGTCAACCCCAAGTGGGTCAACCCATGGATGGAGGTGATGATTGTAGGTGGGGAATGGTTGGGGGAACAAGAACTATTTTCATTTTTAATAATTTTTTTGTTTTTCTATTTTTAATTCCTTCCTCTTTTTCTTTTTTATTTTATTTTATTTTTTTAATCATTTAAAATAAGATAATATAGAAAGACCCTTTTCAAAATTGTCAAATGATGTTTCACTTCAAATTTTTTTGTCAGCTAACTGGCTTTTGGATAGAAACTGCTCAAGGGACCTGAGCTGTATATTAATTTAAAGATTTGAGATCTCATAGAACCTTTTTTTTTTTTTATTAAGGTTTGGGACCTCTGGTAATGTGTGAATATAAATAATTTATGGTCATATTAAGAGCATATTTGGGAAAAAAAAATTGTTATTTTATAAGTTGGGAGGACCACAAATTGTATGAACCATAATCCACCAATTATGAATCCCATGATTAAGTTATAAATCACATATGTTGCATAAAACTAGTTTATGAATTTCAGTTCAAACAAATCGTAACTCTCTTACTTACAGGGGCAAATCCAGGACTCAACTCAATTAGGCCGGTCGTTGATCCTTGACTGTCGATAGTCAACGGCCGTATAAAGATATCATTTATTCGATTTATTTGGAAATATACTAAAATGTAAAAATTGTATATTTATATCATATTATATTTCAACACAATCTGAAATAATATAAATTACATAATACATAAAACTTCTTTGTGTTATCAATGCTTAACAAATCGTTTGCTTGACTAAAAGTAACTGAGAGATTAGATACACCACTACAAGAATTAGATTGAGATTCAGTTGAAAAAATCATTCCATAATCAATATAATAATTGAACGTTAATCAAATATTAAATGTAATTGAAATTAATTTTAAAATATAATTAAAGTTTCAATTTCCAGTTCTCAACACCAATTCATCACAAATTATAAATTTTCCAATTTCTCATTTTCAATTTTTATAAATCACATATTCACATTTCACGATACTCAAATTAATTTTTAATATCACAATTCATAATAGACAAATTCTTAAATAACATATAAATTAAAATTTAATACTCATAAGTCA